AACCTCGCAAAAGGTAGAAATAAATCCCTTTGTTGACATGAATTCTTTCAGTCTGCAAGATTAAGGGTGGGTTTCCTCGTATTACATTTTTTGACACAGAGATAAATCTAATGACTAAAACAATAACTGTAGTTAGTGTATAATTATGGGACACAAAGATACAGTCTGTTCTGTCAAAATGTGTGAGGGAGGTATTTAGAGTTTTATCTTTGAACGTGTAATGGTCATTTATTGGTTCTTCACTGGTTTCTTGAAAAAATTAGAACTTTCTATTCCTTTAACAAAATCTGGAAATGTAAATCATTTTTTAAAACCATTAATTTTTTTATATATATATTTTTCTTAGTAGAGCTAAGGCCAGTCGGTTAGGTCTGTCCTCCTCCCTTACGTTACTGACATGGATAGCGTGAGGAAAAATTAATTTTGTGAACCAAGAAAACTTTTTGAGTGGAGCATGTTTGTTTGGAATTGTTAAGAACTGCTGAGGGGAAAAAAGGTGACAGCTTGACATTGAAAACAGCAATTTTGTCCCAGTTTGATGCTGCTGGGTCTTTGATGAAAATAGGAAGAGAAAAGTGTTTGAAACAGCGCCTCACTACTGTAAGTCCTTTGGAATTGTTTGTTCTTGTTTACACAAGCAGTTACCCAGTGGTCACTGGAGTTGTTAGGAGGCCTATAGAACTGATGAATGCAGGAGTTAAGAAGAAATGAAAAGACTAGTATAAGCAGGACCCTGATTTCATTCTATTAAAAGTCACTTCCTGAGTAATTTGAATAATAACAACAACGTGAATATTCGGCTGAACCTAATCCTGCGACTATATTTCATGTCCTTATATTTCACACAGCCCTAAAAAGAAATGGAATGACACTTTTTTAATAAAAAAGTGAATTATTTGGCCTGAAAGAAATGATCCTTGGCAGTCACCTCACTGTGGTTTATGAGCCCTTGGCAGGTGTAGGAAAGGAAGTTGTGTGTGTTGACATAGATGTTTTGTATGCTGTGAAGTCATGTTGCATCTGTGACACACGAGCAGTGTGAAGGATGACAAAAGGCCTTTCAGCAGACCAAATCATTTCCCATTTGTGTAATACTCTGATATCATAAATCAGGGGAAAACGCTTTTCTGTGCATATTTGTGTCTTCTTTTCCTCCTGCCTCCGTAGCTGACAGAGTAAAGAACATCAGTGGATGACGATAATAAATTCAGAGATGTGACCTCCAGAGGCTCCTGCTCGTGTCGATCTCGCAGCATCTTTCATTTGCCTTGATAATCCTGTTTTATGGCAATTCTTCCTCTTCGTTTTGTTCCCTTCAAGGTATCACATCTTCCTCGGAGACCCTGATCTTTGCTGCAGATGGTGCCGGGGAGGATGGCGATGATGGGGTCTCATCAGGGGATTATGGCATAGACGGCTGTGCTCCCTGGTACCTGAGGGTGCAGGAACTGGCACATGACAGCTTGATTGCTGCCACCAGGGCACAGCTTGCGAGGGATGCCAAGGCCAACCAGGATGCCAGGGCGGCAAGTGTCAACAACGGTAAAGTGACATTAATTAACACATGCCGAGATATTCATAAAAGAAGTTCACAGGCCAAGAGGGTTCTTCCAGGGATAATTTTACTTTTAGTAACTGTGATGGGTGGCCTGTGCATTTGAATGTGTCTTGTCGCACACATTTTCATTCACTACATAATCACTACTTACTACAGGAACAACGATGAGATACAAAGGCAGTGATGAGATCGAGCAGCTTAATCAGAGCTCACTGTGACACTGCTCCAAACTTTAAAGCCAAAATGAATTTGTAGCTCTTTCACAACGGAGAGTACATGTGTGGTTGAAGATATTTAGTGAAGTCTCAAATACCATATTATGCTGAAGCATTGATCATTCTCCAAGATAGACTATAATGGTCTAATGTTTTGATGTGTATTTATGTGACTAATGTGAACCTGAGAAGAGACTAGTGAAGAAGAGTGTTACAGCTGTGACCAAAAGGAGAAACGTGTAGCTCGTCAATGGAACAAGCAGCTGGAAGAGTATATACACATCATAAATCAACTTTTACTATGTTTTCAAGGCACTGCTCGCTGGATTTAATATTCTATAAATCAATACCCACCAGACTTAGCAAAATGTCTGAGAGCAGTCATTCGTGGATGGATATCTGTTTTATGAGTCATACCAAATATCTGAAGGGTAGGTTGTTACTGAGGTGTATTTTTTTATCTTCACCTCTAGTTTTTAGAAATCCTGTAATATTATAATCTACAAAGAAAAACTGACATTTTACAGTGGTCAAAAATACCAAGACTGAACTTTGTATACAGAACAGATGTTCTGCTAATTATTTTTTTAATAATTGTATTTAAGTTACTAATAAAGTAAAAATGTCATGGCTTAAGGAAATAATTTTTTTGGTTTTTTAAATCATCACGTCAAAGACAAAAATATGATTTTGCCAAAGTGAAGTAAAATAGAAATAAAATATCGTTAAAAAAAAAAAACACTTGTGAGAAGTTACTTAGAGTTTCTCTTTCTGAAAAACCAGACAAGGTGCTGCTGGCACCCAGTACAATACCTGACAGATTTACCAGGATAAAATCCAACTTCTCCTGGAAAATGTCTGAGAAAAGGCAGCAGTTAATACACCAAGGGTTTTAAAAAAAAAAAAAAAAAGATTTTTATCTAACAATTTGACTCACTTTTCTACAGAAAGTTAATTAGCCTTCTGTATAAATACATTTGATAATGATATAGTATAGACTATGGGAATAGTACAGGAATGTCTTTCCTCAATATAAGATGAACCAGTATGTTCTTTTTATCAACTGAAATCCTCCACTTTGAAAGAATCAGACTCCCATTGTTGACGCCTAATTCAATTATTGGATTACCATTATTGAGGGTGGTTATTATCTGTAGTTGTGCCAATGATAAACAGGCTTCTGTTTTGGAAATGAGGATGTCCTGATTCTCTCATTTGATGCTGTTTATGCTCCACTGTTCTTCTTTCTGTAGAGCAGTGTCTTAATCTGGTTCCCACACAGTCAAAGCTACCTACACCGTCACCTTATCTCACTGTGAGGATTCTAATCTGATCTGAGACAGTGAAGTCTCTGCTGCAGCACACGGTGACACAGAAATCTGTTCACCCACACCAGGAGTCAGGGATACGTCCCTTCTTATGTGAACTTAACTCCACAGGAAGCCCGTTAGATGGAGAGCAAAAAAAAAAAAAAAAAAAAGCCATGATACGACTCCCGGCTACATGTCTGATGTCTAAACCCCCTCTGAGTCAAGTTTCAGCCACAGGTCCTGAAAAAGTGAGACTGCTCAAGTGAAGATGGCTTTATTTCAGCCAAGTTTGTCATATTTTCTCTGACCCTGTCTGTTCACTGCTTTGTCATCTTTGATGAGTACAACTTTTTTTTTATTATTTTAACCCAAGTGGTTCATTGCAATTTGTTTTCAACAAGTTAAAGGCTCATTTGTTATCAGATGAAGACCATTTGAGGGCCACTTACTCAGTTTGAATATATATATATATATTTCTGTTCTGAATTATTATATACAGTGGGTACAGAAATTCAGACCCCCTTACATTTTTCACACATATTGCAGCCATTTGCTAAAATCTTAAAAGTTCTTTTTCCCCCTCAATGTACACACAGCACCCCATATTGACAGAAAAAAAAAAAAACCCAGAATTGTTGACATTTTTGCAGATTTATTTAAAAAAACATGGTCATAAGTATTTAGTTAATACAGCAATGAGTCTTTTTGGGAATGATGCAACAAGTTTTCACACCTGAATTTGGGGATCCTCTGTCATTCCTCCTTGCAGATCCTCCCCAGTTCTGTCAGGTTGGATGGACAGCCATTTTCAGGTCTCTCTAGAGATGCTCAATTCAGGGCTCTGATTGGGCCATTCAAGAACAGCCATGGGGTTGTTGTGAAGCCACTCCTTTGTTATTTTAGCTGTGTGCTTAGAGTCAATGTCTTGATGGAAGTTGAACCTTCTGCCTAGTCTGAGGTCCTAAGCACTCGAGAAGGTTTTCGTCCAGGATATCCCTGTACTCAGCCGCATTCATCTTTGCAGCATGACGTTGCCACCACCATGCCTCACTGTTGGGACAGGTGATGAGCAGTGCCTGGTCTTTTCCACACATACAGCTTAGAATTAAGGGCAAAAAGTTTTATCTTGGTCTCATCAGACCACAGAATCATATTTCTCACTATCTTGGAGTCCTTCAAGTGTTGCACTGAGGAGAGGCATCGGCATCTCTGGAGCTCAGCCACAGTAATCATTGGGTTCTTCTTTACCTCTCTCACCAAGCCTCATCTCCCCCGATTGCTGTTTGGTCAGACATCCAGCTCTAGGAAGGGTTCTGGTCATCCCAAACGTCTTCCATTTAAGGTTTAGATCTGTGCCTTGCCACAATTCCAGTCTCCAGGGAGTTCCATTGACCTCATGATTCTCATTTGCTCTGACATGCACTGTGAGCTGTAAGGTCTTATATAGACAGGTGTGTGGCTTTCCTCATCAAGTCCAATCAGTATAATCAAACACAGCTGGACTCCAATGAAGGTGTAGCACCATCTTCAGGATGATCAGAAGAAATGGATCTCAAGTACCTGAGTTTAATATATGAGTGTCACAGCAAAGGATCTGAATACTTATGACATGTGATAGTTCAGTTTTTCTTTTTGAATAAATCTGCAAAAATGTCAACAATTCTGTGTTTTTCTGTCAATATGGGTTGCTGTGTGTACATTAATGAGGGAATAAAATGAACTTGAAATGAAATGATTTTAGCAAATGGCTGCAATATAACAGAGTGAAAAACTTAAGGGGGTCTGAGTATGTTCTTTACCCACTGTATAGATAGATAGATAGAAACTTCATTCTCTAGTAAAGCAGTTGAGTTATAAGACATTTCATTGCAGGGCAAATCATTATTTTCATAGCTCTTCAGATAAGATCAGTTGTACCTTTTGTGAGGCTTCATTCCAACTACAATCTTGGACTTGTCTTCAGAACATTAATGCTTTTATTAAAGTTACAGACAGGCTGTTAGCTCCTTTTCAGGTAAATGAAAAAAAAAATCAGCTGTCTGTGACAGTTTCATAGTGAGGGACAGTAAGGTTGTAGTGGACCAACCTTTTTGTAAAGCTGACTGTACATTTCAAATGTCAGTGGGGCAGACAACACAGACGCTGGTCCAAAGGGATGTGGTGGGTCAGATCATATGAGTCATTCCACACTGTTTCACTGACAAGCGAGCAGGTGTGTTAGCTTTCACCAGGAGAACGGTCCAGACCTGAATGCCTGATGCTGCGATGAGGCAACTTGGGGGCTTGTGGGAGACAAATTACGCTGAGGGTTTGTGTCAGTTTTCCCCAAACTGAGGCAAGCTATTCAAATCAATACAGATTTGTTCAGACTAATTCTTTTTATCTCTCTGTGAAACATTCTTATGCTGTTGGGAGTCTGTTCACGGTTGATAGTATCCCCATCAACAGGGCAGAACGTCACACTGAATGGTTTGATGAGTGTGGCAATGCTGTGATGTGTTTTGCCCTTCACAGCCAGCACATCCCACACTGTTCAAACATCTATTAAATAATTTAAATAGCGTTTACCTCTGCAGACAAGATCAGAGACATTGAAATGGCTCATCAGGGTCAAACACTTTTATTATCACTTTTATCCATCACTCTTGATTTTCTTTATTTAAAAAAGTGGAAACCAGGGTGATTTAAACCTATGACCTTTTTGTTTAAGGTCACAAAGTACCTTTATTTCTTCATATCTGTTAAAGTGCTACAAAGATTTATACACTGGTGTTACTTAATTTTATGTGTTTAACTTCCGTGGCTGAAGTTCAAAAAGTAGTCAAGCACAAGAACTGGATCCCAACTATTGGATACCAGGTTCCTGAAAAAAAGGTAAATTCTGTTTTGGTTGCTGTAAAGACTTTGTGTTTATATTTTCAAGTTTGTAGACCAATGCAATATAGATTTACCAAAACTGCCACCAGAGTGGTAAAGTGGTAATGCTTTAGCAAGAAACTTAAATGTCTGATTGTAATGGAATAAAAGTAAAAAATAACCTAAGTGGAAGATTTTGAAAAATGCAAAACGTTTTAGTCTAAGGCCAAGGGAAGTAGCATGAGAGATGAGAGATAAGATAAAATGTGTTGGTTTTATTTGTACTTTTATATTATATAATTAAAATGAACATAATTTCCAACTGCCCTAACCACAACTCAATCTTGCCTCGGAGATGAAGCCTGGAGTACTGGGTTTAATCCCCAACCTAAACTTTGGTAAACGTATGTTATGCTTTGCAACATCCAGCAGGACAAATATCTATTCCAGCACAGCCAAACTAAGTGGCAGGTTGACTCAGGGACAGTGACCCAGACTGAAGAAATGTCAGTCTGGGTTCAAATCCCAAACCAGGCACATCTAAATAAATGAAACCATGCTGTGACTTTTTGTAACATAGACAATTTTTTGAAGAGCATGGAGCACTTTTAGAAAATATTTCTCTTATCTTTTTAAGCAGGTTTTAAGTTGTCTTTGTTACAAAAAGTCACAGTACGGTGTCATTTATTTAGATATGTTTTTTGTATTTTTTAAAGCTACATGTAAACATAGGCACATTTTGGCCATAAAACTCTATCTTGAAACTTTATTTGCAGGAATGTAACAGCAGCAGTTGGTCCACCACCCAGGATCACCTGAGTGGTGTGTACAGGTGTGGAGCGTGGGAATCCAGCTACTTGCTGGAGCTCAGTGAAACTCAGTTTAGCCACGTTACGCCAAACTTCACCGTGCTTCACCCCCCCCCGCCAAAAGCCATAAACCCAGAGGACACAGTGAAATATCTCCAGCAGCATCATGGTGGTGAAACTGTATGAGTCACTGTAATAGACTCCCTCCCACTGACTTGCATGAGATTACCCACGTTCCCTACAGCAGTGGGTTATCAGCTAAAGGTACATTTCTACAGTTGAGTGCTAAACAAAATTGTCACTGTTAAAGGAAACTGCAGTTGGTCCATGCAGCTGAAGACTAAGTGATTGCATTCAGCTTTGGTTGGTTTTCTTTGGCTGTGAAAGTCCTGCAGGTTTCTGCCCCTACCTAATGATTAGCTTTTCCACAGCCAGCCTCCAGAGGCCTGCCACCTGCCACTCCTGGGGTGTTTTTTCTGATTTTTACTCTGGTTGCTTAGGTGACCACACACACAGCGGGACTGCAGATGGAGAAAAGAGAGAGCCAGCGACAAGAAGCAGCAGTCATCTCTCAAAGCAGATCCTGCGCTGCTCATTTGAGGGCTGCTGCAGGACATTTACCTGGCCAGCTCATCTGAAATATCACCTCAAAACACACAGGTAACACATTTTCTACAGAAAATAAACTTAAATGCTGTTCACCCAGTTAGACCGTGTGCGATTATGCAATCATTTATATTTTATAGCTTTCTAAATTTATTTAAAAAAACCAGTGAACTGACCAATCTTAACATCTACTGGCCGTTAATAAGAAGCTGGCATAGCCTTCTAGTTGTAGAAGTGAGCATCAGATAAACACAAACCAAATTTACAGAAACATTATTCCTGAAATTACAATCAAAACTAAAATCCATGGTAACTCACCCGAACAGGCAATTGACAGAGAGAGAAGGAGTTGTACTGTTTGGAAAACACAAGTACAACAAATAAAGGCTTACTCGTTTGCCTTAATAAGTTCCTGTTCACTAGTTAAACGTTGTCTGATGACTGTCAGTTTAAAAACCAGTTTGGAAGCGTGAGCTTTGTGTCTGGTTCTGTCACCATTCACAGGTAATATTCTAGTAAAATGATTCAGCAGAAATATCTGTGCATGAAGTCCAACAAAATCAAAAATCCCCTGGCTCCTGAGAGAGCCCCTGGCTCCCTGGATTGGTTTCTGTATGTTGCATGTACATTATGCTGCATGTGTCTGTATATGTACCAATCAGGTTGAGTCTAGAGTACACATAGCATTGGAACATTTCTGCACATAAATGCTTAACAACACTGTCACTGTTAAAGGAATTCGTAGTTGGTCCTTGCAGCTGAAGACAAAGTGATTGCAGCTTTGGTTGGTTTTCTTTGGCTGTGAAAGTCCTGCAGGTTTCCACCTCTACCTAATGATTAGCTTTTCTGCAGCCAGCCTCCAAAGGCCTGCCACCTGCCACTCATTGAGTTTCTTTCTTTTTTTTTTTAAATTTGGTTGTTTAGGTGACCCGCTGCTGGCTGTGGGTGCAAAGTAAGGCTTAGAAAACCACAAGTACTCCAACTTGTTTGGGGAAAATTATACTTTGCCTTTAAACAAAGTTGTTTTTTTTTTTCATTGATTTAAATCATTGTGCTTACATGTTCTATTGTCACTGGATACAGGCATTATTTAAAGATTTCAATATAGGTGATGTAAAAATAAAAATTCCCTAAGAGGGTGGGAGAAAATGAGAGAGAATGTTTGACAGCTATTTGAATTTTTTAGCTTTTGAACTTGGATTTACAACAAAAACTGAATTAACTAGTCTAAATAAACATGTTTACCAATTAGTACAAATAATTATTGTGTCATTGAGGTCACGTAGTTGGAGCAAACCTTAAAAGACTTCTCCATCTTGGCCTTTTTTTCTGCGACACCTAAGCGGCACTGACACACTCGACAAAGTTATTTCGGTTCAGAGCAGTCGCAGCCCAGTGTTTCCTGATAGCACTCTGTTATGGAGGGGAAACACAGCTGAGACTTAGTCAGAAGTGTACTGTGCTGGAGCCGCAGCTCTGTTGACATCAGGGTAGAAAATCTATTTGCGGTCACCCTGTCTGACATTGCTGTGGGCTGCTGCAGAGGAAACACTGAAGCTTGTTTTGTTTTTCTTTTGTTTTTCTTTTTGTTTTAATCCGGGCTCCAAGGAATGACCGAATGTTCAGGTGCGGCGCAGAGGGCTGTGGGAAGAGTTTCTACGTGCTGCAGAGGCTGCAGGTTCACATGAGGACTCACAACGGCGAGAAGCCCTTCATCTGCAAGGAGAAGAACTGTGGCAAGAAGTTCACCACGGCCGGAAACTTGAAGAACCACAGACGCATACACACAGGTGGGAGCAGGATGATGCAGCAGATAAGAGCGTGATCGCGGCAGAAGCAGTAACGCAGGCCATTTGACTCCCTTCATTTAATGCTTCCTTGGTGCAGTCAAGGCTGGAGATTTGAGGAGTCAGCAGCACTGGTGCCTTCATTTCACTGCTGGAAAGAAACAGCACTCTGTCATATTTTATTTAGGGTGACATTAAGATTTTTGATGACCCATTCCACAGTCTTCTTCTATCCAGGGACCAGTTAGCCCACCAGCTTCATTGCAGTGTTTTTATTTTGCCCAGATGTCTGAAGAAGTAGCTTTTTATGAGCCATAATTTCAGTTATATTACAGGTTTTACATTCTTCTGCATCAAAAATAAGTTCAGCTGTCAACACGGTCGCTATAAATACACAGGATTCTACATTCCCACGGCTTTCACCCCTTAATCTTTAAGTGCAGTTCTGTCGTGATACATTCACCACATTAAGTGCTCCTGTTATATAGATTGAAGTAATTGCATTGTGATTGTGTGGGGGCCGGCTCTTTCCAGGAGAGAAGCCTTTTCTGTGCGAGGCAGACGGCTGTGGGCGATCCTTCGCCGAGTATTCCAGTCTACGAAAACACATGCTGGTACATTCAGGTGAGTGGGACACGATGGACAGCTGTGCGCCTTTTGTACTGACAGATGTACTCACAAATGTACTACAACAACGAGCTCCGTAATAAGATGAATCCCTTTATTCTCTTGTCTTGTGTCTGCGTGCTCCTCTCTCAGGTGAGAAGCCCCATCACTGTGGAATCTGTGGGAAAACATTCTCTCAGTCCGGCAGCAGAAACGTCCACATGAGGAAGAGACATGGAGAGGAGGGGCTTGGCAATGACAGCCGAGAGAGAGGTGATTAGAAACCTGCCTGCTGTCCCTTTAAAAAATAATTCATAGCATCAAAAGAAAAGACATACTACTTTACCTTTGGTGTGTAAAACCGTATGGACAGGTTGGTTCTCACAAGCACAGAAGTCTAAAATACACACACACGCAATAAGGTAGAAGGCTCATGCTAATCCATGGATTATTATCTGGCTTCAAGCAGTCCATACATTTTAAAGTGTGCAGAGAGTTACCTTTAGGAACATTCTTTAAATTATTAATGATTTTTTTTAGCAAAGATATGAATGATACATTATTTTCAAGGCCAGCAGCGGAGTGAGACTACTAATGTTTTCAGAGCACCAGCTAAACTGCACTGCAGACCCAATCCTGCTGGGCTCCATCTCACAGAGTGAAGTTCGTCTGAAATTATGTTTTGACAGGAATAAACAGCACAGTTGCTCAAACTCCGGTCTCGGAGCCCGTCGTGTGTCTCGTCCCCATCGCTCATTTCTTCACCTCACAAGAATCCGGAGGAATGAGTGACTAGTTGTGAAATTGTGAGCAGCAGCTGTTTTTTTGAGTGACTAGTTGTGAAATTGTGAGCAACAGCTGTTAGAATTTCCCCTCAATCCATTTTGGCCTCCTGTTTTGTTTTTTTTTTGTTTGTTTGTTGTTTTTTTACAGTACAGCGCTGGAAGGTTTGCAGTTTCAGCGCCTCTTCAGAAAGAGGCTTAACGACCTCGGTCTCTCCAAACATATGGCCTAAGTCAGCTGAAATTAGTTTTACGTCTCGTTTGAGTGAAACAATGAGAGCAGACAGTGCGCTCGCCTCCTTGTCACATCTCTGTAGCAGCAGGAAAGCTCCACGGTTCGGAGAGAAAAACGCTGCCAAAGCTCTAATTATAAACAGCAGATTTATTCGGGTCAGTCTCCCCAAAGAGGTTGGACTTTTGTTAAAGGAAAATGCAGCAGCTTCACGGCACAGAGGTAGTTTCTGTGTTATTTATACACAACACAGGTTATTCCCTTTTTTTAAATGGACTATTGGTTTGACCGGAGTCCTTTTGAAAAAGCAGGGACAAAAAACACGCTTACACGACAGGATGTAACTTGGAAAATATAATGAGAATCTCTGACTGAGCTCTGATTTCTCAAGATAAGACTCTGATGTTGACATAAAACAAACTCCTCTAAAAGTCATCTGTTGGCATGTCCATCTTGGCTTTTTTCCATTCTGATGTCGATGTGTGTTTTTCTTTATTGTGCTGTCCTTCCATAGGAGAGGCTCTGACACAGAGCAGTCTTCTGGAGGCAGACGGTGAGACCATTACAACAGTGGTGGAGCCCATGAACCTACATCACGCCATGTTGAGATCTCCAGGTGGGTGATCGTCTTAGAAATGTTTTTATGAACTTACTGGACTGTGCTTTTGTGAAGGATGGAGATGTTCTGTGTAGAAATCTGCACAACGCTTTGAGCCTCGGGTCTGTTTTCATCATCTTCTCTTTAATCAGTTGCTGTTGCCAGGGCTCACTGGGGACGGTGTTCATTTTCTAACCTTCTTCACACTCAGTTGCTCGCAGCCACATGGCACTGGTCATGCATGTGTGAGGCTACTGCATTAGTAGATTACCTGTTGTGGTGATCTGTGATAGAAGAGGCAGCCAAAAGTGAACCCTCTACCCTTCCATTATAGCAGAAACAAATGTTCCTTACTTCTTGTACAGTTGGAGATGCAGTTGGCTCTTAGGTATTTCTGCATTATCCAGTCTGTCCTCCTTCGTACGCCCCAGCTTTGAAAAGGACTAATAACATACACCGCTTTTGTAAGTGTGATGTTAAATAGTCGCTGGTGTTTTCTGTGGAGATTCTGTTGTAAACACTCAGTTATATGATGAGACAGAACAAGGAAAGTCCTCATAAATCTTGTCAAAACACAGTTCCTCAGAGAACGGTTGCTGGAAGAGGGCCACACACTTATAATTAGTTCTTGGATTGGAGGATTTGGTGTCATTTTTCTTACACATGTTCTGCTTGAAGTAATTTTGGAAGAAACTGCAGAAAAAAAATAATTGTAACCTCTTTTTACTGGATGCAACAACAATGCAGAAACGGAGCCAGCAGAGGTTTTTAGACAAACTTTTCTAGAAAAGTTGGTAAGCATTTCTTTTTTAAAAAAAGCATTTTGAAAACTAGGGACGTTAATTGTTTCAGTTTTGTGGAAGTGGAGTTTTTGCCAGGTTTTAGTTTGTCAACTGTCCTTGGTGAAAGTTGTCCATTTTTGCTCTTAATGGGGCACCAGACATTTTTAATCAGTGGTTTGGAAGGCGGTCAGATCTGGAGTGTAAACAGGCTGGTCAACAATTCCTTTTAGTATTCCTTTTAGACCTCCGTTGGTAATTTAGGCCGAGTTTACGTTTCCAATCTCTGAATCCATACTGTCCTCCTATTCAGGCTCTGCAGACTCGGTGGTCGTCCTCTCTCAGCCACATGAACTGGTGACCATCACAACTGAAGGCCATTCCTATGGAGAAGACGTGGTGGCGCTGCTGTAGCCCACTGACATTAATGTGGACAACTGTTGGAATGAGTACCATCGGACTGAACCTCAAAAATGTAAATAGGTCAACTGCTGACTTTAACCTCTGTAGATAATTGTAATTAGCAACCAGTGATGGTTTTATTTTGCCAGGTATGAAGAGAAAAAACAAAAATTTCGTTCACGTTATTGAAAAAAAAAAAGTCCCAAAGAAACATTTAGACGGGTTTTCAAGGTTTATGGTAATTTAATGACTATGCTTTGTTTTGTGCATTTAGCAAAATCATTGTTAACGGTGGTTGAAAACACACTTAGAAGGCACTTAATCTTAAGAACATTAACGGGTGACCTGAGAAAAATTATACACACCATTATTCTTATTAGAAACATTAAAACCCCGGCAATTAAAAAACCTGCTAAGTCACAGTGTATCATAATGCTACCTGTATACGGTGGTGTTGCACAGAACAATCAGTAATGTTTATGACCCTGGTATCGCAAACAAGAAGTGTATCCAGTGATGAGCTGCATTAACAGAATGTCTTATTATTGGCTGCATATTTCACACACAAACACACACACACATATATACACACACACACACACACATCACCCCTTCAGTGCAAGTTTCAGCACTTATTAAAGAGGTGAATGCAGTAACAGTGTTTTTGACGGAGACATTACCTGACCAGACCCACAATGTTTCTCTGGGTCTGTTGGATTATTACTTACAGTAAGTTATGTTTTTAAGCACCACTTGTGTGCAAAAGTTTAAGGCCATCACTGCTTAAAAAATTGTTTTAGCAAAGTTTTTACTGCCCGTCAAGTTTTATTAGAACACAACCAGAGAACACAATGTTTACACTGGCTAGAATTTAAAGGATAAAATCAATGTTTTTCAATAATTTACACTTTTACAGTGCATTTTATATTCTGTGGACTATTTTAATAAAGTTTAATAACATTTTATATTCTGTGGACTATTTTAATTTAGTTTTTTTATTTACTAGATGATAGCAAATGTCAGGAGGGAACATGCAGACAGTGGCTGAGAGTATAGAAGTGAGCACACAACCCTATGGAATGGAATGGATACACATGCAGACACGCTAAAATATTGTCTGGTGTGTGAAGTAATAACCAATATTCTTCTTTCAGCACATCTCAGAGTTCTTCTTTAAAACCAGGCCATATGTGATTTCATTCAGTGCCAGTGTTGCCTCATACATTTTTCATATTCAAACTCAGGTCTGGAGTAAATTATTTCAAACTTTTACAACTATCCAAAATTATTTTCCCCTTCCTTATTTTCATTTAAATTTTTTAGCCTTGGCCTTTTAAAAAAAACAGGTCAATTTCTTTTTTTCTTTTTTTTTTGCTTTTAATCACTAACACCTTTCTTGATCAGGCTTCTTCTGAGTGTAGGACTCGTCTTTATCCTGATAGAGCTGCCAGACGCTGAGACTTTTCACAGGCTCTAAAAGGAGAAACTCTAAAAATGCTTTTAAGCAGTGGCCCACGTCCTGTTTCCATTCGCACTCTTAATGCTGTCAGTGAACCAGCCCACGTTTCCTCAACTATAAAACTGATCCCAAGTGGAAACATCAGTGGTCCACATTGCTGTGTTCATGTCAGCTAACTATTCCTAGTCCTGCTCCTTGTTACGTTCGACATTTTGGCAGGTGTTGTGTGCTTCCTTCATTCACTTGTCCACAGATTTCTGTCTTCATCTCCTGCTTTGTCCCTGAACTGAACCTAAAACAGCAGTGTTCTGATACTGCATGCATGTCTGTTCTTGTGTTGTCTGGTTGTGTTTTAATGAAGAGAATAAAAAAACTACTTTATAGTGTTGCTAAAACAACTTATCTCATGGTGGCTTTGGGCGTTTGCACATTGCTGTAAAATCAGCAGTTGAAACTCAGTGGATCTTCAGGCTGTGGAAGTGGTCCAACACAGCACCCAGGGTCCAGCTGGCCTCCACGTTGTTCACCGTCTTGGTCAGCTAGGACAGAAGAAGCAGAACAACACCAAAATCACTCAAATGCCTTTTGTATTTATTAAAATAATAATAAAAATAAAGTTGTCATCACTTTGGTTTGGAGTTTCTACCTTTGGGAATGGGGAAAAAATGTAGCTATTTTAAACTGCACTTGTGTGTTGCCATGGTAACCATGTCTGGGTTTTTAGACGACTATTTAATCATGAGGTGAGAGTGACATGAGGATGTTTTCTAACAGTGACTCACGCCGATGGCCTCATTTTGGGCGAGCAAACAGTCAATTACTGATGTGTCATTGTCTCCTTCACGAGGTCAGTGTGGATGATAATAACAAATATTCATTTAACTCGCTCCAAATACGAGAACATGAGTCTGGGCTGCACAGCCCTGAACGTTCACACCTCAGCACTGTGAAAAAAATGGATTTTCTCACCGACACTTTCTTCTACTCGAGGCCAAACATAACATTGATTGCGTTGTAAGACTAATTCCTCACCTGCAGCACTGTGCTCTCCTTGAAACCAAATCCATCCTTGAGCAGACAGCTGATGTAGGTCATGTCCATACACAGGAAGGGGCTAACGGAGGGATTCTTGGTCATAGTACTGCACACTAAGCAGTGAAGAAGAGAATGGTGTCGGTTAGGTTGGATTAACAGCCATCTGTACTCAGCTGAGAGGATGACGCAGGGCTTGAAATGAGGACAGGAGACAGAGACGCTCTCTGGGTGTCAAGTGAGTTCAGCAGAACTGTTATTATTCTAAGTCAGACTCCGACTCAGTAAGATTGATCTTTTTGATACCATGGTCATAAATGCTACTGAAATAATTATCCTATTACTTGTTAAAGGAAAAAGAAGGTTATTTTCAGAAATGGTGATATTATTAATAAATACAAACAAACACAAAAAATGGTATCTTTTGTTAAGTAAAATAAAGTACTTCAGATAAGCTACAGACCTTTTCATTAAAGATGGTTCACTTCCTCAGATCAAATTGAATCTATGATCTGCTCTTTGACAAATAAAGGTCCAAGTACATCATTAACTTACAAATGTAAGTTTTTATAGTGTTTTTAGAAAGTGTATCAACTCCTCCAAGTTTGGAAAATATTGTCCTGACAAAACGACAGTGTGACTGTATAAATATCTGTTCTAACCAGTAAACCACGTTCAAAGCACTGCACCATCTGCTACAGTGACATTGTGAGTGAGACTTCCTCACCTTCTTTAGCTTTCTTCTTAAAGTCTCTGACCTCCAGCATTCCTCCTTGAACTCCATCTGCAAAAGAGGATAAATATTTAAATCTACTGTAGTAGATAGATAGATAAAAATAGAACAAAAATGGGCTGATACTCGTGTGTAACGGACTGGCAGAGGACCACGTTTTTTTCTGTCCCAGTTAACACACCCTAACCTCATCAAATTCACCGACACATACGTGCAGTGACTCACACTTTCTCTCTGTCTGGCACTGCAGTGGGTAATAACACGGCGCTGTCTTTGTATCATTATGTAAGGTGTGTGCATTGTGTGTGAGGGTACAAACCGATGAGGCCTGCGTCCACCGCTCTGTCAAAGTAATAGGAGAACGCATAGAAGAGGTTGCTGTCTTGCAGCTCATATGGCTGATGAATTACACCCTTCACCACCTTAAGTACTTCTTGATAACAGGGCTTGAAGCCTGTGTCACCTTGCAGGAGAAGGAAAACAGTGTCACTTATGTTTCTCACATCAGACCCAGGGGAGCAGAGATTCGACAATGTCTGTGGTTTGTAGTATTTTGAAAATTGGAGCTGACTCACTCCCTGGATCCCCACTCAGGTGGTAGGTAAGTCCCCCAAAACTCCAGTCTTCCATGAACTTTTTAGGCAAGCAGGAACTTTTAAAAACACGGTCCTCCAAGCCTGAGGAAGAGAAAAGAGTCAAGTTGAGTCATCAGGCTTTAATCTAGTTGATGCTCTGAAATCTTAATTACACAGAGAAAATTGTCTCCAAATTTTGATTCATCTCATGCTCTTCATTCACATTTTTGTCAGTGGAGAAGGCTTGACATTTATATGCGTGCACACATTTCTGTTGTTTAACCTTTCCTTTTAGTTAATAGGCAGAGCAGAGAACAAAAAGTACCATCGTGTGTGTGTGTGTGTGAGACAGAAAGTGTGTGTGTGAGGGAGAGAAAGCCCAGAGAACTGAATCCTCGTGTCCCAGTTATCCAACAGACAATAGACGACACTGATCCACAGCCCATAGCAACAGAGCGGCTCTTCTCCGTGTTACACTACCTTCTGCTCCCAGAGCGCCCAGTGTGGCCAGTCGAGCTGCCATCAGTCCATTTCCTAGGTAACTGCATCAAGACAAAAGATTGTTGCGCAGTTACACAAGCATCCAGAAATAAAGTGTGTGTGAATAACAAATGAGTCATTCTGAGAACATGTTTGATCTTTACACGTTAATGACTACAAACACAGAGGATATGTTTAAACTCAATTCAGATGAATGGGTTTTACACAACTGTGGACACTATTATTTTATACAAAGTGCATTTCTGAACATAATGCGTAGAGAAATCAGAAGTGCTCTGAGTTCCTGAATTTAAGTAGCAACCTTTCAACCCAGGGATTGCTTTAAGGGTTTGAGTTTTCAACTGTAAAAGCATCAGGTCAGCAAAACATTTCAGTAAGACTTGCCAAGCAGAAGAAAGATAAACAGTACGTTATCAAAAATGTTTTTAAAGGCCCACATCTTGTGTGAGGGGCAGTATTAACCTTAACTTGTCAGAGTAATTTAAAGCATTCAGAGACGAGATTCAATAAAGTTAAGTAAACAGCAACACTAGGTTCTGTGTGATCCTTCTTCATCAGACACAACAACAGTCTTGAGCAAACTTTTAACCCAGTAAAGAATGTGCAAAAAACTTTGACTGAAGAAAATCTCTGAACAGAATTGAAAACAAAAGGTCCAGACCATGGAACCTGGTGGAGGAGTTTAAGAAATTCATCTAGTAAGAACAGGTTGGGATTTGTCAAAAGATAAAAGACTGCTGTTACATAAGGGAATGCTTCTGACTATTAGGATAACAGCCTTAGAACAAAGATGGAAAAAAATAGATTTTAAAAATTAAACAGAACAAAAATGATTTCTCTGTGCAAAGTTAAGAAAATCTACGTCTCTAAAGTCAGAAATATTTTAGTCAGCTTCTACTTGAAAAATACTGTGTTCTTAAGACTTTGTGGAATAGATTCAGAGACAGAATGAAGACAAAAGATAGCAGTTCGTGTCACCTGTATGTGTACAGTTCAAACGTTGAATTAAAGATGTCAAATCTGGCGATGTAGTCTGTGACGGGGACACTTTCAATTGTTTTCTACAACAGAATATATACATCATTAGCATTTTAAACCATATTTAAACTGTATCCCTAAATAAAATGTTTGCACATGCAAACATATAAACTGACCTTGAGTTTTGGCAGGAAAGTGATCTGTGTGGATCCACCCCCCAGATCTAATATTCCCACCGTCTTCTTGTTCTGTGCAGCACTCAGGTGACCTAAAAACATTTTCCCTCTTTATTCAGAAGCCACTGCAGAGACGAGCTAATCAGTCGTACCTTAGATGCTATCTTCAAAAGGCTTCTTTTTTACCCACACACACATGCACAACCAAAAAGTACAAAGCCTCTACACTGTTCTTGATAAAGATCACAGCAATATGCTTAAGGCACAAGGATTGCAGCAACGGACATTCTGGAAAGAGCAGAGCTTCTTTTGTGTTGTTTTTTTTAAACCATGTAAAAGCAAAAATAAAAGGAAAATGTTCTGGTGTTTTGTCTTAGACAGCACCTACCTGTCAGAAAGTTCACAGATATCCAAGCCAGGATCCCTGCATTCACAGAAAGGGCACACAGAAAAAACACTTATCAGTAAAATCAAGTGCGGGACAAAAGAGTTTGTTTAAAGAAAAAAAAAAAAACAGCTGATGATAAATTTTCAGACATCTCAATAGCAGTCGTCTCCCTTAAAAAAAACATGCGCACACATGAGTAAGTAGGTTGTAATTCCGGAAAGTTGAAATGCTGACAAATCAATTAGACAGTGGCACAACAGACATTTTCCGGCATATAATTACTGCCTCTTAAGGTCACAACAACTCTGTGGTGGGAAGCAATTCTCCTTTCTGAGGTGTCATCAAAAATAGACAGCAATAATCTACAGCAATTTAGCTAAATGCCTGCAGTAAACAAAGATTCCTTATAGAAAGTGCAGCGCACACTGAAAGTAGGGCAGAAAAGCTCAGTGATGCCTCCTACAAAGTACCAAAGGAGGAACAGGAGAGGCTGCAATAACTGGCAAATGTCTGCCTTGTCGAGGCAGAGGGTGAGTAGGCGGCGGTACCTTCATTTGTGCCATTCATTATTGTGACGCTGTTGTCTGGGACCAAAAAGGGAGACTCATCAAACACATGCTGAACCTGAGGAGAGAGGAGGAGAAAGAGGAGGAAGAGAGTGAAGATGAGATCATGAGGGAGCCGAGGAAAGCTGTGAAAGAAATGCCTTTAATGATCTACTGTAATGGCAGCTCATCGAGAGGTGCCCTCCACTTGAAGGGAATAATTATTACTCTCAGGGGGATTAATAAAGTATCATTTATCTTCCAAGGTGCTCCAAGGCCATTCATTACTATCTTGCCCCCTTCATGAGAGCTATCCACACTAAGCTGCCAGCACTCCTGTAACAATAGTTTTTTTTCTCTCCTGTACACAGAGTATGTAAGAAATTCCTCCTCCATCAAAGAATGAGAACAGGCTCTTTCATTGGTAAGAGTCTAATAATTTAAGCATATTCTTTTTTATTCATGTACTACAGGGATTGTGCTATTAATTAAACAAGACTCTTAAGATCTCATTGGTGAATTATGTCTCAGTAGCAGTCAGCCAATTACATGCTGAGTGAAGTCCGGCTACTGTTACAGATCTCTGGTCTTTGTGCCTCATCACAGAAACCAAAGGGAATTGGATGTAATTATCATTGTCTGTGATTTTAGAGCAGTGTCCACTTACCATGCTAGCTGTTAGCATTTAAGGGAACATTAAGGAAGAAAAAAAACAAAAAACTAACGGCTTACACCAGTCTATTTATTTTTTATAAAGGATCGGCCCTTTAACTGTTTTTTTCATTGAGACATGAAGACGACATAATGAGCCGGCACTACTCATCATCCTGTCCCCCCACATGTGACCAATGTTGTGTCTACTATATATATTATATATGGTGCATTTAGGTTACTTTTGTTACTAATCAGCACTGCTTACAATGGTATACAAAAGCTAACTCGACAAACCAACCTTGTCAACAAGTCAACACAATTTCTCTAATGTCATGTGTATGTCACCGGTGATCTATTTCTTCACCTGGTCCAGCAGAGCCTGCGCCTTCTCTGCAGACAACATCCTCAGTCCGGCTGTGGCTCTGAGGACTACAGGAGTCTTCTTCCACTCCAGACGAGGCACAGACTTCTTGGCCACTTTTAACAGTTTCCTGATACCGTCCGTCGCCTGAAAGAACAAGGACAAAGCTCACGTAAACTGCATTAAGAGGAAGGTGGCAAGTTTCCTGAATCAAACTCCAGTCATTATAAGGGGTACGACCGAAGGGGCATTTGCTGCACATTGTCAATAAACACGAGTCAAAGTTAAGCCAGTGCAGTTAAGGAACAGAAATTGAGTTCTTTTTTATTTTAAAGCAGTTCAGTAGTTCATTTAAGCTCCTGTTTTTTCAGTGCAGGCCCCACAAGAGTCGCTTTCTCAGCAGTCACGATTGATTTACATCTTTTTGAAGTTGGTGCTGCACACTCCTGCCTTTTAAAACAGCATATGTTGACTTTTAAGGAGTTAATTGTATTCATCATTTTTTATTCATCATTATTACAATGTGTACATTATTACAAAATGACAAACTGCATGATGCTGTCTGTAAGTCTATTACTTGATGGTGCATGGTGTAGAGTTAGAGAGAGAGGATGGCTATTTATATGTTCTTCAGAGCTCAAATATTTAGATGAACTCTCCAGGCTACCACTCCTTCCACAAATGTATTTGTCACCGTGTTGACAGTGTAGCATGCATCATCTACCCTAACACCAAAGGCAGTGTGTGTTAAAGAAAAAAGAATGAGCAATGTCAGAATCAGCATTTCTTTAATTGTAATTATGGCTTATTGTCTTCTCCTGCTGCTGTAAGGTCCAACAAAACATGACCTCAAAAAACAAAGATCATGTCAAACACTATGCTGTGTTTGCTGCTGCATCATATTTATTACCAGTGTGTTTTCATATTCTGTTTTGGTGCCGTTTCTTAATACAGTGTAGAGCCAGCAGAACCGTCCTCTTTGGCTCAATATAATTTATTTGAATTCAAAATTAACTTACCATTTTAGGGGAGTCAGCATATGCTGACAAACCAGGCTTTAAAGATTGGAATATTTCGTTGTCCAAAACAGGAAGCTCTGTTCAAAGACAAGACAAGGTGCACCCCATCAAACACCAAGCTTTTCAACAGTGCCAAAGCCCTTGAATCTACTTATATACATAAATATGCAATAGGTTTCTCATACTGTAAATTAACATGAGCTGTGTTAACAAGGCTGTGTCAATATAAAGCAGTAAATAAAGTCTAGTTTAACCTGTAATATGGGTAGCTGCTAAAGAAAGGCAAAAATCATCTTGCAGCTCGCAGTAATAAAAGGTGCTGGGCTCTGCCCTGCTTTACCTGAGTTACTCTGGATGAAGGTGTAAACATGGATGCGTGTGCCTGTGCTGCCAGCATCAAACATCACTCCATAAAAGATGCGGCTGTGGTTCGCCGGTCGACTGAATCTGGGCAGGACACTGTTGATGTTGTTGTTGAAATCCACAAAACTGACATCAGCCTGACATAGTCCTGTGACGGCTAGCAGGACCAGGAGTGGAAGATGCAGGGTGGGCTTCATCTTCACCCTGAAAAATCACAAAAATACAATGGTAGAGGTTTGTGTACTTGAAGGACCAGTTGGAGTATTATCACACCGCTCAGTGTCACAGTAACAGTATAACTGTTGCACAGTAGTAGGAGGAGGTGTAAATTACTACTATGACAAGCAACAGAGGCGTAAGAAGCAATCAAGTTATTACAGCAGGTCATTTGGCCACACCCCATTGACTACCTAACTAACCACAAGGACACATGCACAAAAACCTCCACCTGCTGACTCAACTCCTGTAGATAAATTGGGAAACATCACATTCTGGACATAAATTGTTTCCAAATTCTTTCATCATTAGGGCCGGTCAATGCTGGACAGCTCAAGCGTGCTTCAGCGTCCCACTGCACAACTCAGACGTCTAATGAGGGGAATTGTGACACCTTAAAAGCCTTGGTTAAAAACTTCTCTACGGGAAGCCCTGGCTGATACTTTGTCAGCCTGATTACAGAGAACATTAGAGGACAGGAGACACTTTTACCTGACATGTTTTACTGCCCGGAAACTCCAATTTAAATGTTAAATTACCAGCCATTAAGGTGTCTGGAACACGTTTTTAAAAATTATAGACTCACTACAATGGACGCATATCTCACGAGTACGGGAGTTTACCTCTCCCCTTTTTTACTTTGCAATTAATTTATTTAGAAACTATGTAGTGCTTTCAAAGAAGTGGGGTTGATTGTTATTGATTGATTTCTACTTGGTCTTATTTGCCTACTCTGAAGAGGACTATAAAGTAGTGGTGACTTTCTAAATCAGGCATTTTAACATTTTTTGGTCTTTGTTTGAATAAACGATACTATAAATATAGACATTTTACAAGAGGGCTGCATATATTCTGTTTAGTGTCACAGAGTAGCATATTTATAACTTAGGTGCTAATATTAGCAGGTCCACTCAAAAGCAATAAGCCTGCAGTAAATGGTGGGTGTATAATACTTCTGTAGCCTTTTTTACTGTTATTCTAAACCTGGAATTTGCACCATAACCTGAGGCACATGGTACTCAAATCAATAGCAGAATCGTTGATACAGAGGTATTTCTTTAATAAACTCACATTTTACATTAACATTTCTTTCTAAATGGTGTTAGAATATAGCCAGAGTTCTTTGAACTCTGCCCTCAAATGATACACAAATGTATAGCACTGATAAACCAATAAAATGTTAGTAGAAAATGTACTGCTGTAAAGTTTGTAGAATTACCAACCCAAATGAAAGTCTTTCACATAACTAAATCTGAGATCATAGCTTTCCTGACAAAAGTATTTGTTAAAAAAAATGCCATCTCTTTATTACAACCAGTAAGTGTTAATGAGTTATTTCTCACAGTTGTCACAGTTTTGTACATTTAATTAATTAAACAGAATCAAATTTGAAAAAATAAAATAATTTCCTCTCTGTAAAATTATCACAACTTTAATACTACTACAAATAGCACACACACAAAATGGGTTTCTGTCTGTTATGTTTTTATGTCTGCAAAGACTAACAGAAAATATTGCTGTATTTTCTTCTCCTGACTGTGTGCTATAGATGTCCACAGCAGTTCATCTACCTCCAACCTACCATCTATATGTCCTACTTAAATACACAACATCTCCCTAGTAGATTTTATAAACCAATCAATTAATTTCTCTTCCATCTACTGCCTACTGTCATCATAGATTAGGAACATCAGCGCTTACTGCGACTGCTGTCTGATCTCACCTAACAACATGCCAATCACCATATCCATGAAAAAGCATTTAGATCTTAAGGAGCTTATATCCTTAATAAAAAAAAACCCAGTATATCTTAAGCCAGTCTGCCGAACCGGCTGCACACCTCAACGCAGTTTCAGTTTCCACAACACTTTTAGTGCTTTTTACACTTGAGGATTGTGGTAAACATTGTGTTTAGAATGTGCACTGGCCTTTCTCTTAGACACCTCCAAACCCTGACAGTATGTCATCTACAGTATTTTTACAGCACTGTCATCAAGAAAAACCACATCTACAGTCCTTTAACAGCTAAGACATCTAGACCAACCACCGTATCATCCACACTCAAAAAGGACATGTTGTGAAATACAAATTTACACATAAGTTATAATTACAAAAAGGTTTTCATTGGGACTGATCAAGATTATGTATAATCAGATTTGATGAGTTTACTTAGATGGTTATGTTAGTTAACGTTGCAAGAAACTAATTTATCTAACTGTAAACGTTATTAATACTGCAGTGGAACAAAACACAAACTGCTACAAAACATGTAATATGTTAACAAGTAAAAAAAGATCCAACGGCTAAATCATAGCAATGCAACATTTTTTTTAGTCCTATTAGTAAATGTTTACAACAAACATCAGAATACCACAACCACCGTCAAATTAGCGTGGGCGTGTTTGTCGTTATATATAAAATGTTTGATACCGTCCTATCATTGATAATAAAACAAGGATAAAAAATGAATGATGTACCAGAGATGTTGTAGTGAAGGAATACACGGATCACGCAGTAGTTTCTTAGTCAACCATGACAACAACCATCAGCCGAAGTAGAAAACTCAAGTTTGACAAACCGGCAGAACAAGACAACTGAAGCTAACGTTAGCTGGCGGAAGTTACAGCCTATTCCTGCAAGAACTACATTGGAAATACGTCATTACCTAAAGGCATGTTTTAAACTACAATGCGAACAGTTAGGACTGCAAAGCAAACATAGCGATTAGGGGAATATAAAGGGTTTCAGTAAACACAAAACGCACGCTCAAGGGAACCATAGTGTTTGTCCGGCCAACAACTTATCTGTAAACAAACAAAATACATTTCCGGTGACGTCTCTTGACGCTTTGTGACGTTAAATTAACGACTTGACACTGTAGTTTCGTGCATAGTTGGCCAGTCGGTGTTTACTACCGATCTAACTCTACTTAGTTACAATAATTGTGAGTTTTGTATTAATTGCACGAAGAAACAGCCAACCAAACGAAAAGTTAAAAAAAAAAATTCAAAATTTTTAACAACACAGCAAAAGATAAAATCTGCAATCTAGTGGGGACTGTAATCTCATTTAATAAGATCTCACATCACATGTTAATAAAGTTATCTAATTGTAACAAATCTACTATAAAGGGTTAGGGTTAGGGTAGGGTTTTAGGTGACATAAAAAAACTTTTGAATGTTGAATGAACATTTGATGTTCCAATTTAATTTGTTAATATTTTTGTGGTCCAGGTTGACAGGTTGTATTTTGTAACTGGCTAAGTGTTTTTTTTACCACAAATACATTAAATAACAATTGCATATACTTGG